TAATTCTGGTAATTCCAGAGGTGGTAATTCTGGTAATTCCAGAGGTGGTAATTCTGGTATTCCAGGGATGGTAATTCTGGTATTCCAGGGATGGTAATTCTGGAATTCCAGAGATGGGCGACCTGCAGTGCTGAGCAGGACCTGCAGTAACACACAGGTTGGAGCTGTGCCAGGCTGCATTACCAACAAGCAAACACCCCTTGCAGCCTGCAGTGAGCCCTGTTGCCTCTGGAGGTGTGCCAGGCTGCATTTCCAAGATGCAAACACCCCTTGCAGCCTGCAGTGAGCCCTGTTGCCTCTGGAGGTGTGCCAGGCTGCATTTCCCATAAGCAAAGAGCCCTTGTACCCTGCAGTGAGCCCTGTTACCTTTGTCAGCTGCTGCTCGGAGGGGAAGCCCAGCCCAAACACGGTGTTGGCTCTGCTGTCTGCCCACTGCCCAAACTTCTGTGATGTTTTGGTGAAGGTCATGTTGGGGGTGATGGTGCTGTTTATGATCACCTGGTCACAGAGCAAACAAAAAAAAATTGAATTAAAACGTGCAAGTCACATCGGAAATGCATATCCTAGCAACGGTATCATGCAAAGCAATTAGCAGTCTAAATTGGGAAATTGCTGTGTTCAGAAGACTTTTTTTCCAAAATAAAACAGTTGTTTCCTTGTCTTCATTCTTGCAGGAGTTCTGGTGCTTTGTCTTGTTTTTGACAGTCCCATCACAGCCCTGCAGTTAAACGTGGCTGCAGGAACATCACTGAACTCAAAGCAGGGTCAGGAGGCACAGAACTACCCTGGCAGAAATGCAGATGCAAAATCCTTTTATTAGCACTAGGAAACCACACAGCCACTGCCCCAAGAGTTGTCTGCCTGAGGCCTCCAGGCAGGGCACCCCCAGTAACACCTGAACTCAGACCTGAAGGGCAGAGAGATATTTCTGCATTTTCCCATCTGTCCTCAGCCCTCCACAAGCAGCATGACATATCAGAAGTTTCAAAGCAGAGACATATCAGAAGTTTCAAACAAAGCCAGCCAATAAAAAGCAAGACAAGGAGAAGCTGATAGCTTAACAGGGAGTTTAACTTGGGAGGGTGATGAGGCACATCACCAGCAATGCATATGCAGTATCAGATTTGGGCTTTGGAACAAATATTTTGCATTTTTACACATGTTAACTAATATCTGCTTCATCACCAGCAACCCTGAAAGCAACAGTGGTTCTTGTAATTAAAGAAACAGCCAACAAGAGGAAGGCTGGTGGATGAAGCCTCTGAGGAACTTAGTGGAACAAATACAAAATGTCATCTTGCTAAGAGGAATGAGGTATGTGTCAGTTCATTATCAAAAATCTTAACTTTACTTTCAAGCAACACCATTATATTAGTCTGGCGACTTCTTCCCCTGGAAATTAATTCATGTACAATGTTCTTTCTGCTAGCAGAACAAGAGCTTTCTTTAGTAATGCCTACCATCATTTCCAAAATGCAAATTATGCAGTAATTAAGCCCAATCTGTGGGACAGTTTAATTAACATGATCAGGAAGTATCCTGGCAACATCATTTACTGTGTATTCCAAGCAGTTTTTTCCTAGGCTATCATTTACATTTAGCAAAAAGTGTGAATTTTGAAAATAAATTTACCAGAGGAAGATCCTTCCTTGCTTCTATCCCCTCCCTGACTTCGGACCATTGTGCTGACACTTTCAGTTGCTTTTTTAAAAATTGCCCAACTTATTTCCCTCCTTTTGCATCATCACTTTCAAACAAACCTATGATTTTCTGCCATTCCCCACCACTGGAAGTCTCCCCAGAAGGATCAAGACAGGTGAGTGTAGCCCTGAAAATGTCTTTGCAGGGGAACAAACAGAGCACAGGCAGAGGCAGGAGCAAAGCTGCCCAGGGGTGTTCTCCTCCAGCTAAGCTGTGCCATAGGAACAGCCAACATAAAATCTAAATGTCATTTCAGTAATGTAAATTGAAAGAAAATCAGAGGTTTATGTAGGGGTTTGACAGTGCAAGGGACTGTGATAATACAAGGATTGCATGGTATAAAGAGGCAAAAGAACAGGAGGAAAAGCTACCACCAACCCCAAAATTCAGGGTGCTTTCCAGAAACTTTAAAGAAAGTGCTATATGTATATGTCTGCTTTAAAAAAAAGATCTTACATCAGACAGGTGAACCACTTGAAAACGTCTAGCTTCCTAAGTTACAGAATTTATTTTTAAAACTAAAAACTTCCCAGAAATTTCAAGTGATAGAAAGTATTATTTCAGTCCTGCTGTGCCTATCAACTTAGACATCTGGGGGAGAAAAAAAATAAAGTGACCAGTCTGACTGAAAGGCAAAAGTTTCACTCACTGACAGCTGACCCTGAGTAGAATAAAATTCTTCCATGCCTCCTACAATAATCATTGCGAAAATACAAACATATTAAAGAAACACACTAAAGTTATCTTTTACAAGACAGTTCAGTACTATGAGATGTGATAAAAGGAATAATGAAGGCTGCAAACTTTAAACCAAGGAACACCTTATTGAGAAATTAAATGCACTACATTAGCTGAGCACCTTAGAAATTATTTTTTTCTATGGTCAGTGGAGAATCCAAGGAAAGGCTGTGGTGAGCACACACCTGAGAAACTGACAGTTCATCTGTTAAATTTATAATAAGCTGCTGTTAGTGAAACTGCCTGGAAGCTGTCTCTCCCTTTCCCCTCAAATCCTCCTCTGCCAGTCAGGCACTCCAGAAATGCTGCATTCCTACAGAGAAGTGAAAACCTAAATAGAAGCTTAGGAGATTAAATCAGAGCTCATGTTTCTGTGAGTTCAGAGGAGATGGAGGCTCTGAGTACATGGGGCTCATTCACCTGCTCCTCCTGCCCAGCCTCACCCCATCTGTACGCTCACTACCCCAGATCTGGCCATCTGCAGAGCACTGACACCCCACTGCAAGGGAACAATCATGTCAATGGGAAAGGTCAAATAAACTGGGAAATTTTTCTTTTTTCTTTCTTTTTTTTTCTTTTTTTTGGTGAAAGTATGAACCAGAATTTTCAAATTTCAAAAGAAGGAGAGAAGTAGAAGGGCACTATTTTGCTGCAGGCAGGATGAGCCACCAGGCTCTTTTCCATCCCTACCTGCAATCCAGCATGATAATCCTATAAGAAAAGGCCACTCATCAATTCAAATGAGCCCTTATGGAATACTTTGCATTTGGTCCTCATTTGTATAATACACACACAATGAAATTCCAGCTGCACCATAAAATGGAATAAACTTGTGGACTTTCATCCAGGATAATGGATTCAGAAGACAAACTACTCTCTAATCAGATGCAATCAATCCCTGAAGTGGTTAAAGAGTTCTCCCTAAAGACAAAGGCAAAGAGAAGTATAATATAATAAGCACCTTCCAGAATAATAAACCCATTCATCAAACTCACTTGTCTACATGTGGTTAAAATAAAATCTGCCTTTGCACTCACCTACATGCAAATGTATCAGATGGCAAACATTCCTGATACACCTGCATGAGCCAAGCAAAATCTCACACTAATTTCACTTCCTTTGGGAGAAAATCAAACCTGAGATGTAAATTTTTATCTGCAGATGACACAGAAGTACGTTCACAGCACAAGGCACTGCCACCTCACCCAGAAATGACTCCAGACATTTAGGAAAGCACTTGGGTGCATTCATCAGATAAAAATGAATGCAAATAGGCTGGTGTAGAGCAGAACATTCATGGGCTGAAACACACCCATCCTGCTGCCTTCCCACGGAGAGAAACTGCCAAATAAATCAAGAAGGAGAGGTCACACGATGACCTGAGAGTGTAGAAGGAGAAAAACGGGCTGGCAGCTCCTGCTGCTCATGATGCACGAGCAGAGCCCACAAATGCAGCTGCTGCTCCTTTTAGGGGACACTTGGAGTGTCTGAAGGGCTCCACTCCTGCACACCCCACACCAGTGCAGGGAGGGGAAAAGCCCCTGTGGCTCCTGGAAATGCAGTCCCCAGGCTGCTGCCCTGTGCACACATGGTGAGCAGGAATGGGGCAGCTGGAGCGTGCAGGGAGGGCAGCTGAGGCACACACGGGCTCCAGTGCCCTCCTGACCCATCCAGCCCTGCCAGCCTGGCTCCAGTGCCATCCCTGATCCATCCAGCCCTGCCAGCTTGGCTCCAGTGCCATCCCTGATCCATCCAGCCCTGCCAGCCCGGCTCCAGTGCCATCCCTGACCCATCCAGCCCTGCCAGCCTGGCTCCAGTGCCATCCCTGACCCATCCAGCCCTGCCAGCCCGGCTCCAGTGCCATCCCTGATCCATCCAGCCCTGCCAGCCCGGCTCCAGTGCCATCTCTGATCCATCCAGCTCTGCCAGCCTGGCTCCAGTGCCCTCCTGATCCATCCAGCTCTGCCAGGGTCACAGCAGGGAAAAGCTGACAGAGGGCTCAGCTCCAAGGGGAGCAGAGCATGAGTGCAGAGGGTATCTGGCACAGTCCCTAGGAGGAGGAGGATGGATGGATGGATGGACGGACACACCAGCAGGACCTGCCAGGACACACTCCCATGGTCAAGCCAGCCAGCCCTGCCATCAGTTTGTCTACTCAGAAAAAGACTGAAATAACAGCTGTGAAATAGCTAATAAATGTATTGGCCAATGTATCTTCAAACTGTGTCAAACTAAATCAGAAAAGGACACCTTATTCTGGGACAGCAATGCCAGATTAGGAGTTATTCTGGAATTTCTCCTTTAAATTCACATCACCTGTTACTCTGAAATAACCACACCTCCAGAAAAGCCCCAAGGCTCCAACCCATAAGATCTACTCCTTAAGACTCTACTAAAACCTCCCCATTTCATTTTCACACCTCTGAATATGTGCTTCCAGTTTGCAGCCCTTGTGAAATCTAATTTCCTCAACCCACCAGGCTGCTAATCTTCAGTAAAGATGTGTCCCAGTCTAAAAACAGAATTGCAGAAGGAAAGAAGCTGCTAATCCTCTGGCCATAGCTATCACAGGCTCAGCAGGTTCTTCCAGCTCATCAAGTCGACATGAATCAGAAGGGCTTGTGACACAGGATGTGAGGATGAGGAGTCAGAGGTGGATTTGCAGACAAATTCTTCCTTTATCCCAAATGTTCAGCAGCATTTCTGTCGAATTAGCCCACCTACATTTCCACGATGTGTATTATCCTTTACACTGTCTACTATCTCTATATTTCCTACCTGTGTTTTCACCAGGATGTCACTGGTGATAAACCACTCATCTCATTTGTAGCCCTAGGAATGAGAAAGTCCCAGAAAGTCCATGTGTACACACACACACACACACATATTGTTAATCAAGACAATGGTAATAAAGGGAAAAAGAGATTCCCTTGCAGCCCACCAAGCTGAGCAAAGCCAGGGAAGCACAAGGACACACAAACCAAGAACAGCAATGTTTTTTTGTTCTAGCTTTGCTTTGTCTGCTGCAGCTAACACCTACATGGCACTTTTCCTGCACA